ATTTGTAAGAGATGTTCGAAATGGTATTAAATTTGTTACAATTTCGATTTGGGTGAACCGATAGCTGAAATTTTGAAATTTAGAAATAAGATCACTATTGCATTCTAGGAGTGAGAAATATGGGTAGTTTTGGAAATTCGTACCTATGTGTACTAAATTAGGAACAATTCAAATTTTGGGTAGACCAAGAGAATTGGAATCCGGAAATTTGGAAATAAGATTACTACGTCATTGTAGGGCTGAGGTATGTAGGTTGTTTTAAAAATTCGTACTAGTGTACTATATGGCACTAAATTTGGTACAACTCAAATTTTTGGTGAACCGTTGGAGATAAAATCCTGAAATTTGAAAATAAGATTTCTATTGGACTGTATGATGTAGGTAGTTATGAAAATTTGTACTTAAGTGTACTATATGGTAGTAAATTTGGTACAATTTGGATTTGGTAGCACCAATGGTATTCTGAAAATTAGAAATATTCTAAATATTTAAAATAAGATTACTGTCGGATTATGATATGTTAGTAGTGGGGGATATGCAGGAGTGGAATTCTAAAATTGGGAATTGGGATCTGTCGGAGTACTTTTGTGTACTAAATGTTTTAAAATGTTACTTAACTTCTAAAATGGTACCATTTGGTATTATGTGAACGGCTGAAAACTTGAAATTTTCTACAAGAATTAAGGTCGAAAAGTAAGTTTGATATATAAAGGTGGTTTTGGAAATATGTACTAAGTATGTGAACTTTACTACATGGTACTTAATTTGAAAAAAGTTTGGTTTAGGGTAAACTGATGGATCTGAAATTTTGAAAGGTTGTATTGTTGTCCCTATTGGTAACAGATTTGTAATAAAGAGGTGGTTTTGGAAATGTGTACTACAAGTTTACAAAAAGTACTAAGTCGTACTACATTTGGTACAATTTGGTATTACATGAAATCTGGTATTGACAGTCCTTGAGATCTAAAATTTGGTATTAGTGTCGCTGTTCGTGTTTAGCCTGGATATATGGATGTGGTTGCGGAAATGTGTACAATGATTGCACGAAAAGTACTAAATAGTACTAAAATTGGTATTGCACGAAGATACAAATTCTAAAGTTTAATATTTATATCACTTATGGTATCTGTGTTTGAGATTTAGCTGTGTTTTGGAAATATGCCCTATATTTGTATTTGTACGAAAAGTAGAAAATGTGTACTAAATTTGCAAGAAATGTACTAAATAGTAGTAAATTTTGTATTGGGCGAAGGGATAGATATTAAGTATTGAAATTTCTTATTTAGATTACTGATGGTATCAGGTTTTGATTAAGATTACTGATGGTATAAGTTTTTGAGATTAGGATTCTTAGAAAAGTACTAAATGGTACTAAATTTGGTACTGGGTGAAGGTATATTGATAAAATTCTGAAATATGATATTTTTATTACTAGAGGTATCTGGTTTTGATATTTGGCTGTGTTTTGGAGATGTGTCCTATATTTGTACGAAAAGTACTAAATGGTACAAATTTGATATTGAGATAACAAAATATGTATTAACAAATTATGTATTTCTAGTACTAAAAAGGCTTGACAAGAACAAAACCGACTAACACTTTTAAATTGTTTAACATATGTTTTAAATATTTAAATATTTTTTAATAACCATCATCGGCTTGAATTTTTTTGAAAATATTGATTATCACTAACGTGGATTTTTAAATAGGTTTTTCACAGCCTATCATCGTTTTCTTATACCCTACACCACAAGGTGGTCAGGGTATTATGTCTTTGTGCATTTGTTTGTAACAGGTAAAAGGAAACGAGATAGACCCATAGTTCCTTTTGATGATCTGCACAAATTCACATTCTGAGTCGATTTATGCATGTCCGTCCGTCCGTCTGTTCATGTATTTATTGTGCACCAAACGTGTAATATCAGCCCGAATAGTATGGAGTTTTGCACATACAACCAAATTAGGCCTGAAAATAAGTGTGCCAAATTTGTTCGAAATCAGATATAGCTATAGCTCCCATATATATTGTTTATCCGATTTGTTATTTTTATCCTCCGCAGCCGTATTATGCACTCTGTAACAACAATATTTGGGGAAATTTATAAAATACAGCTCTGAAATACATTTGCTAAATTTTATCGAGATCGGTTCAGATTTGGATATAGCTCGCATATATAACTTCGTCCGATTTACCTTTTATTGTGCATCAAAGGTCTAATATTTGCCCAAATGGGATGGAATTTAGCACTTACGACCGAATTGAATCTAGAAGCTTGTATGTCAAATTTGGTGAAGATCGGTTCAGATATATCTATAGCTCCCATATATACTGTTCATCCGATTTGTTATATTTCTTACCACAACCGTAATATGCACTCGGTAACAACTATATTCAGGAAAATCTATGAAATACAGCTCAGAAATATCGTTGCCAAATTTTATCAAGATCGATTCAGATATGGATATAGCTCTCATATATATCTTTATCCGATTTCAAATTAATTGTGCACCAAATGGGCAATACAAGTCCGAATTTAAGAGATACAAATGCTAAGGCATATTTAGTTATTTGAACTTTAAATTATAATTATAATCATAGCGTGTGTGATTGAATTCTCCCATTAAAACTTTTAATTGTTATGCGGAGCTCTACTAAATTAGCAAAGTGGCGTAGGGTATCATAAAGCCGAAATTAAGAGTTTCGTTACTGGTTTTTTAATATTTTTTATGTTCTGTCATTTAATTTTCAAATATGACCAATGTTTAATCCTACTGACTCTGTGTTGTAGGGTATATTCCATTGAACCATATAAACCGATTTTCACTTGCGTTCTGTTGTTTTTTTTTTTTCTTGTTATACCCTCCACCTTGGAAAGAGGGTATATTAACTTTGTCATTCCGTTTGTAACATCCTTAAATATTCGTCTTAGAGCCCATAAAGTATATATATTCATAATCAGCATAAAATTCTAAGTCGATTTAACAATGTCCGTCTGTCTGTCTGTCCGTCTGTCTGTCTGTCCGTCTGTTGAAATCACGATACAGCCCACATTATTTGACGTAGAGCGCCAAAATTTAGCAGAGCTATTTGCATTGTTTCTAGGATGGTTGGTATTGAAAATGAGAAATATCGGTCCACGTTCTGGTATAGTCCCCATATAACAGTACCTCCCGATATTCGGTATTTTGATTATTTATGCCACATTTTTTCACGGATTTGTCTGGAAATTGGTATTTGTAGGTCATAACGGGTCCCTGAGCGTGTGGCAAAACATTGCATGTATAGGTCCAAGTTGTTGTATAGCCCCCATATAAAGGTACCTCCCGATATTCGGTATTTTGATTATTTTTTCACGGAGTTGTCTGAAAATTGGTATTTGTAGGTCATAACGGGTCCCAGTTCGTGTGGCGAGACATTGCATGTATAGGTCCACGATTTGGTATAGCCCTTTTATAACGGTACCTCCCGATATTTGGCATTTTAATGGTTTTTGCCACATTTCTTCGCGGATTTGTCTAGAAATTGATATTTGTTGATCTTAATGGGTTCTAGCACTTTTGGCGAAACACTGTATGTATAGTTCCACGTTTTGTCCCAGCCCCATATAGCCGTATTTCCCGATATTCGGTATTTTGATGATTTTTGGCACATTTTCCCATGGAAATGTCTAAAAATTGGTATATGTGGCTCATAATGGGCTCTAATGTTTCCTTGACCCTAAGGTTGAGGGTATTAAAAGTTTGGCCAGCCGAACCTAAAGTGTTTTTTACTTGTTTCTAAAAATATTTTTTTATGTTCTGTGATTTCAATTTTCAAATATGACCAATGTTTAATCCTACTGACTCTGTGTTGTAGGGTATATCCCATTGAACCATATAAACCGATTTTCGCTTGCGTTCTGTTGTTTTTTCTTTTTTTTTGTTTGTTTTTCCTTCTGTCTTTAAAAAAAATAAGAAAAATCAAAAGACAAGGAAAATGTTTTTATTTACTTTTGCTGCCGAATATATACATACATACATACATACGAGTATATATGTATATGGGCAATGGATGGCTGACGATGATGACGACTTTGGCCTGATGGTGTGGAATAATGATGACGACGACGATGGTGTTGTTGTTGATGCCATCGCTGCCGCCACGGACAATGAGAATGCTGTGTGTGTGGGGATGTTGAGTGGGGTGATGTTGTTGGATAGGAGCTGACGATGCTGCTGATGCCAATGCTGTTGTGGTGGTCTATCTGATGATGGCACACACAAATGTTGCCTCTCACCGCTTTGCTGCTGTTGTGTGCATTTTCTTTATATCGGTTTGGCATGATCAGTAAATTCGGAAAAAATTGAGTTTCTTCATCTTCGGTGATCAATTGTGTTGAGATGTTTTTTTTTTTTCGTTTTTTTTTTTTTTTTAATTTTGTTTTAAATTTTCACTTGTCGTTTTGTGTTTTTCTTTGCCGTTTTTCTCTGCCCAGCAGCTGTAGAGTAGTAGTACGTCTCTGCTCTTTTAGTTATGAGCGAGCGACCGACCGACCGACCGCAGCCAAACGCTGCTGATACGCAACGTGACCATAATCAAGAGATTTAGTAAAATCAATGAATGCTAAAGGCAAAGATGAACGCGCGGCAAAATTGTGAAGAGCAAAAGTAGATTTGGAAAAAAAATTAAAATTTATATATATTGAAGAAGAAAAAAAGATTCACAAAAATAAGAAAAATATTGAAAAAATTAAATAAAAAATTTGAAAAAAATTAAAAAAAAATAATTTTAAAATTATTAAAAAAATGTGTTAATTTTATTTTGATTATTTTATTATTCCCATAAAATTTCAAGCAAATTATTATTTCCCTGGTGTTTATGTGTGTTTGTGTTTTTTTTTTTTTGCCCCGTACATAAATCTTGGCGGAGGAGAGAAATTTTATTTCAGAGTTTATAAATAAATAATAATAACAACAAATGAAAAAAATGTTGAAAAATCTTTGTGTTGAAAGTGAAATCTATTTCAAATTTATGTGAATATCGTGGAAATTGTGAGGCAAATCATCAAAAAGTTGTGACAAAACGAAAAAAGTTCTGCAAAAAAAAAAAAAATACTTGTCAACCAAACTAAAGCAGCAACAAAAAACACATCTACGCAAAATATTGTTCCCCAACCAATCTCGATTTACCCGTTGTGCCAACATTTCCATTTTCTCCCAGCCAAGCGCAAAAATTGTCCAATTTTGCTATCCCAGGAAATCTTAGTCATCTCTCGAGAGATTTTCCGTCGTGTTTGCTTTTCACGTTGTTTTATAAATTCTTTCAGTCGCTCAGTTCGGACTCGTTTCGTTTCATGTGACACAAGCAAATATTCCACCAACTGTTGGTTGTCAATATTCAGGAATTTTTGTTTTGTGTCCGCGTCATCTTCGGTTACGGTTTATGAGTGCGTGTTCGGAATTGTCATGTTTTTCTTTGCTTTCATTTTTTCCCGTTTTTTTTTTATTTTTTAATTTCCAATCAATTTTTTTTTTGATGTTGTTTTAACTCCGAAAATTTAGTTGAAAACGGTTTTATTTTTAAACTGCAGAAATTTAAATTGTAAACAACGAAGAGTTCATTGGCGTTCCAACCACAAAGGGGCCCATGATTATAGCTCATGCATGGAACGACGCACAAATAGTAACGACACTACAATCTATGGTGTTGCAGCCCAACAAACCGATATAACTCCATCGAACACAGACTCGAACACACCGTTGTACACACCGCCATTGGCCTCAACCTCAGCCCTAGCATCCACACTGGCACCCACGCCCCTATCCCTCTGTGCCGTTGAAGATATGGCGGCAGCGCCGTCGTCGTCATCTTCGTCGTATCCCCTGATGAGGGCCAACCCCGTCAATGCCTCATTTCCCCATGCCAGCGGTGGGGGTAGCATCAGCCTTAGCAGTGGCAGCAATAGCAGTCTCAGCTGCTGTGCCAGCAACAGCAGCAGTAAACAAAATCTAAACAACAGTTCATTAACACTGCCAGCATCGCCGGTGCCTTCAGCTGATTATGCCAGCAACAACAACAACACGAACACCACCACAACATCTATGGCATGTTTTTCTCCAGCCAGCGGTCCAACGAATTCAACAACATCTTCGTATCACACAGCAGCACATGCATTGCCGGCATTAATGACGTATAACAATAACAACAACAACATGTGCGGCAGTACCTGTTCCAATCCAAATAAACAATGTATTTTTAATTTAACCAATTCACCACCCATCTCACCGGCCATAACACCCGAACCACATCTCATGAAATCTTTATCGTTTTCAACGCCAATATCTTCCACTGCTGCACGTCCGAAAATTTGCCGTAATTCTAGCCGTTATAGTTTGGGTAATTACGCCGTTACACCTGCAGCGGCAGCCGCTGCATCTGTTACATCCAACTCGAATGGTTCACATGTACACACGCGGCGCAGCAGCCTCTGGCCCGAAGCCTTAATGTTGAATACTCGAAATTTAGCAACGAAGGAAAATGAAAAACGCTCATCAAATTTAGGGGTATGTAGAAATGGTGTTAATATGGTGTTAGATTTAAGTAACTGGATACGTGGGATGAATTATAAGCGTTTCGATATATTTTAATTATAAGAATTGTTCCGATGTATCAAATCGGAAAGTAGTGGTGTTTCATTGTAATAAACAACATAAAAACTTATTTGCTACTGAAAGGTAACAATACCAAAACAATATAAGATTTTGATCGTTCTGAATTAATATTTGATAGTTTTATAAAATATTAGTCCAGAATGGTCCCGTTCTAAAATTATAGAATTCGACTTTATGGAAATCCTTAAGGTGGATATATTTTTTTTTGTTAGTCCACTTGTAATTTTTATTAATAAAGGAAAGCCCATCGAAATAAAGATCAGGTGTTAATTTGTATCCAATATACAAATAGCATAAAATTCTATGTCCATTAAGTCATGTCCGTCCGTCTATGAAATAATTTAGACTTTCGGGCAGAATGAAGTAAGTCGATAAGCTTTTTCTCAGATGTATTTTTGGTCCGTAAAATTTTTGTGAATTTAGTATTAACTGAAAATGAGCTCTATATGTGGAAGTAACAGTAACCTTCAGTTTCAAGGTTTTATGAGCGTTTTAGTCGTAGTTTTAACCCGAATTAGCTGTAAATGGGCAGTTTGTGGCATATAACTGCAACTTCTGATATACGGTATTCTGAGGAGTTGTGTCAAATTGTCCGTCCGTCTGTTGTAACCAGGCTTTAGTCCAAACGACATGTGATTGAAGGCTACAATTTTGTAAAGAGTTTTCTTTTGTCTGCAGTAAGGTCAATTTCGAAGATGAGCCATATCGGTCAACGTTTTCATATAGCTCCCACATAATTGTACATCCCCATATTCCGTACGTTGACGATTTTAGCCCCACTTTCTAAAAAAAATACTTTGAAATTGGGTATATAGAGTTTTTAATGGGTTCTACCTCATGTGGCACAATACAATCTATATATGTCCAGGTTCTCGAAAACCTCCCAAATATCTTGATGATTTTAGTAACTTTCTAATGGAAATGTTTAAAATTGGGTTTTTAGATTTCATAATATTTTCTACCTTCTGTGACAGAACGTTGATCATACATGCTCACGTTTTTCTATAGTCCCCATATAGAGGTAAGTCCCTATATTGATAATGTTAGCCACATTTCCTTACGGTTTAAAATTCGGTATTTAGAGTTTATGATATGTTCTACCTCCTGTGGCAGAGCACGGCCATCATAGGTCCTAAAGCCCCATATAACTGTACCTTCTTATATTCGGTATTTTGGTTATTTTAGCCTCAGTTTCTAGCGGATTAGCTGAAAATTCGGTATTTATAGTTCATAATGGATTCCATTTCCTGTATATATACTTTCTCTATGTCCACGTTTTCGTATAGCCCCGATGTAAATGTACTTCCCAATATTCATATTTTCTAACGAAATTACTTTAAATTCAGTATTCCGTGACGGGTTCTTCGGCTTATACATAAAAATCTTTTATAATTCCCAATTAACGGAATTGTATCCAACTTTTTTACAGAATTGTTTGAAATTTGCATTAAATTTTCCTAATAAGAGAAGTGACGCACATCCTGGAGTTTCGGCATTTATAGACATATTTTTACATGAGTTACTTTTCAAATGGTGGAGCTTATAAAAAGTTCGGCCCAGCCGAACTGGACTTCTTTTTTAATTGTTAATTTTTTAATGTTGTATTTCGAGTTCGTAATGTGTATAACCTCAAATGAAGAAAAATTGTATATACAGTTTGAAATTTGGTACTGCAAATTCTTAAATATGTCTGCTCGAGACATATTTTCAAGAGCTTCACTTTGTAAATGGTGGAAGGTTTTGAAAGTTCGACCAAAAATAAGTTCATCGAGCTTAACTACTTTTTTACTATTTAGTACTGTTGTTGTTACTTCAAATCGGTCACATAGGTTAACATTTACCAACAGACTACCAAACATGTCCGACCTACTCAAAATTTCCAAATTTTTCACGATATTTCATATATTAACAATTTAAGCCACATTTTGTAAGGCAATTCCTTAAAATTGAAAATTTTGCAGTTCGTAATGGGCTCTACCGCCATTGACAGAGTATTGTCTATATATATCCAAATTTTCCAAACGCTCACATAGAACGTTATCTTCGGATACTTGTTCAAAATTCAATATTTTTATTTGGTAATGGGTTCTACTTTTCGTGGCAAAACAATGTCTGTATGTATCCACATTTTCCTACAGTTATTCAAATATATATTAAATTTGTTATTCCGTTTGTAACACCTCTGAATATTTGTCGTATACTCTAAAAAGCATATTGAGAGCTTGTACTGGGTTCTACCACTGGTAGGTGAACAACGTTTTACTATAGCACCCATATAACGGTATTTTTGGATATTAGGTTATTTGACGTATTTGATCTTTTCAAGGAATTTGTCTAAAATTTGGTATTGGTAGTTCGTAATGGGTTCTGGGGTTGAAGAACATTGTATTTATAGGACCAAACTTTCTTATAGCGCCAAGACGGTACCCAACAATATTCGGTGTTTTGGTAATTTTAGCTAATTTTTTCTTAATTTAGTATTTACAGTTTGTAATGGGTCGGATTATTGCAAATATATGTCAATGACTTCATATAGCTCCAATGTAATTGTACCTCCCGATATTCGGTATTTTTGGGATTACAGCCATATTTTCTAATAGAATTGTTTATAATTCGGTATTAAGAATTAGTGATAAGTTCCTAGCTACTGTGGCAGACGATTTTATATAGTGGTCCACGATTTTCTATAGGCCCCATACAGTGGTACCTCCTGATATTCAGTATTTTTGATTTATGCCACATTTTTTATCGGTTTCGTTTCAAATTTAGTATTAAGACTTTGTCACTGGTTCTGCTTCCGATGGCAGAACAATTTCTGTTTAGGAGCCCCGATTTGCTGTAGTCCCTATATTGCGGTACCCTCGAGTAACCGCTGTTTCAAAAATGTTTCCCCATTTTTATTTATTTTTTTTTTAAATTTGGTATTACGATTTTATAAAGCTTTCTACTTCTGGTGGCTGAACGTAGTCTGTATAGGTTTCCGTTTTACCTGCTGACATTCGTTATTTTTACCATTTAAGACGCATTTTCAATCGAATCTCTTTCAAAATTAGTATTTGTAGTTCATAATGGGTTTTTCAAAACTGTGTGAAAACATTGTCCATATTGGTTCAAGATTACCACGGTACATACCCATATTTAGTATTTTGTTGATGCTATCCACATTTTCCCATGGTGTCTTGAATTTCATATTTAAGACTCGCAATATAAAACAATCATTGTAGCAGAATATTGTTCCCGTTTTGGTATGGCCCCCATATATGGTTCTAGCCCATTTTATGTTTTTTAAAACGTTAACTGTATTCTTCAACCGACATCACGGGTATTTGCAGAATAGGTTTATTTAATAATTTTTTATACCCTCCACCATAGTATGGTGGAATTTTTTCAACAGGAATTTTTTCAAATTTGGTATTTAAAGATCGTAATGGATCTTTTCCGGTGACAGAAAATTGTCTGTGCAGGTTGACCTCTTCGTAAAGCCCACATATAACGGTACCTCCCGATATTCGGCATTTTAATGAAATTTATGGACATTTTTTACCAGAATTGTTTCAAATTTGGTATTTGAAGTTCGTAATGGATACTACAGCCTACGACAGAAAATTGTCTGTGCAGGTCCACGTCTTCGTATAGCCCCAATATGACGGTACCTCCCCATATTCGGTATTTTGATTTTATCGACATTATAACCGATCTTCGCATTTTAATATTGTTATGGCTTATGACAAATGTTACCTACGCAGGTTTATGTCGTCATATAGACCCTAATATAATAGCTACATTCGGTATTTTTAAAATTTTAACAGAAGTTTTAACGGATTTTATTGTATTCAAGGTTCGGCCCGGCCGAACTTACAGCTGTTTTACTTGTTTTACCTAACGGCGTATTCGAAACTCGGATCACAAAACTTTAATGTTTTTACTAGTAATTTTTATATCATTTAAAAAAAATGTCGAATTTTTTCCAATTTGCAATTTGAGGTTTTACTTAGTTTTGAAGATATGATCCCAAAAAATGTTCAATATTGGTTTCGAGTTTCAACAGATTTCAAAAGAAAACTTTGCAAAATGTTCATAGTTATCGGTTTGGAATATTTTTGACACATTCTCACTCCCGGTGAATGACTGGAGAAGATTATAAAAATTTCAGATTTGTCGCTCTAGCCTTGATAGGAGAACCACCTCCACATACTCCAGGATATGTAATATTGAAAATGGCCTATATCTGTATCAATTCCTTTTTTTAAGATTTTGTTCCCAAGGGTTCCCATTCTCGCGAAATATATTCAATATTTTTGGTGTAGCCACCATATGAAGGTACATACTTATTCTATATATGACAGTTGTTCAAAATTCGTTCAAAGACACCATTTGTAGAAATGCCTATAAACTATTAGAATCAAAACTAGACGCCTTTCCAAACATGCTTTCACAAATATTTGTGGGACAAACCAGAATCGAATCTTCAACGTATTGTGTTACACTACGCCACTATGTATTAAGGTTTGATACAAAATATTTTCGACATAGTTTTATGGTAACAAAATTAACATATAAATGACAATATTTGTATATCCTACATACCCATACACATACACACACACACACACACATAGAAAGTGTAACTTATTGAAATACAGGGAATTTGGTTAATGGTGTTTTGTCTGACATATGACGTAGAGGCCATTGCTGGGGCATAAAAGTAATTCACATGTCTCCAGAGGCATCCGAAACTGGCGCTCTCTAAGTGCGGGACATGAATGTGTGTAAGTACATACGTGAATGGCACACACCTACAAATTTGCACAGTACATGTACACATGTGTGTATGTACATTATTTATATGTCTTCAAAATACCCGCGTACATAGACAGGCACGCACTCACTTT